GCTCCCTGCTCGGCAGGGAGTCTGCTTTGTCCTCTGACCCTATCCCCTCTCATGTGTTCTCTCTCTCTAGTTCTCTCTCTCTCAAATAAATAAATAAAATCTTTAAAAAAAAAAAAAAAAAAAAAAACATAACACTTGTACATCAGTTGCTTTGGTTAAAGTATTTTTAGATCATTGATTAAAAATTAAGGTGTTAGGCCGCCGCTCCTCCTCCAGTTCCAGCTGCTGCCGCTGCCGCTTCCTGGGCTGAGTCTCCATGCGGTCTCGGCGGCTCCAGGTGTGTTCATGCTGCCCAGTTCCTGCCTGAGTCCGCCGCCGCCATAGCTGCCCCGGGCTCCCTCCCCCGCCCCCCCGCTGCCAAGATGGTGATGGGCTCCTGCCGGGAGAAGGCTCAGAAGCTGAAGGAGCAGCACCAGCTCATCCTGCCCAAGCTGCTGAGGGAGGAGGACAAAAAGTACTGCACCGACTGTGAGTCCAAAGGTCCTCGATGGGCTTCCTGGAATATTGGTGTATTTATTTGCATCAGATGTGCTGGAATCCATGGAAATCTTGGGGTTCATATATCCAGGGTCAGGTCAGTCAACCTAGACCAATGTACACCACAACAGATACAGTGCATGCAAGATATGGAAAATACTAAAGCAAGACTACTCTATGAAGCCAATCTTCCAGAGAACTTTCAAAGACCACAGACAGATCAAGCAGTGGAATTTTTCATCAAAGATAAATATGAAAAGAAGAAATACTACGATAAAAATGCAATAGCTATTACAAATAAAGAAAAGAAAAAAAAAAGAAGAAGAGAAAAAGAAAAGGAGCCAGAAAAGCCTGCAAAACCTCTTACAACTGAAAAGCTGCAGAAGAAAGATCAGCAGTTGGAGTCCAAAAAAAATACCAGCCCTAAAAAAGCTGCAGAGCCCACTGTTGATCTTTTAGGACTTGATGGCCCTGCTGAGGCACCAGTGACCAATGGGAACACAACCACGGTGCCGTCCCTGAACGATGATCTAGACATCTTTGGACCAATGATCTCTAATCCCTTACCTGCAACTGTCATACCCCCAGCTGAGGGGATGCCCTCTATACCTGCAGCTGCCACTTTGTCTACAGTAATATCTGGAGATCTGGATCTGTTCACTGAGCAAGCTACAAAGTCAGAAGAGGTGGCAAAGAAACAACTCTCCAAAGAACCTTTATATGGTATAGGAACCATTCAGCAGCAGAGTACTCCTGGTGTGTTTATGGGACCCACAAATATACACCTGCAGCTCCTGGCCTTCACGGAAATGTGATGGGACAGAGTGCAAGCATGATGGTGGGCATGCCCATGCCCAAGGGGTTTATGGGAAATGCACAAACTAGTGTGATGCCACTTCCTCCAAATGTGGTTGGCCCCCAGGGAGGAATGGTGGGACAGATGGGTGCACCCCAGAGTAAGTCTGGCCTGCCGCAAGCTCAACAGCCCCAGTGGAACCTCTCACAGATGAATCAGCAAATGGCTGGCATGAGTATTAGTAGTACGAACCCAACAGTGGGTTTTGGCCAGCCCCCCAACACAACAGCAGGATGGTCTAGAAGCTCATCGGGTCAGACTCTGAGCACACAACTATGGAAGTGAAAACTGCAGTGCAAGTTTCATCCAGAACTACCACCTGACACTCCTTGCTAAAACGCATCTAGTTCCCCTGTTTATTCATGTACATATATTTTTTTTCTTTTTCTTATTTGTTCATATTAAGAATTACCTGACTGACCGTGTTGGTCTGTACTGATTAAATTTGATGTGAAAAGCAGGTTGAGAAACCATTTTATGTCAAGGGCAGCTTTGCTCATTTCCCATGATTTCATAAACCACATTATTTGAGAAGCTGCTCAGTCAACTTGCAGTATCAGTTTTACTCTCAATAAAATTATAGCTCTAATATCTGCATATAAGGGAAGTAGTTATCATGTTAGTAATACCTCTAACAGTCTAAACCGCACCCCCAGATTAGCCAGTAATCTTTACGAAGGTACTGTATGATCAAATGTTTAATCATATAAATAGAATGTAAATGTATCACTGAGTACTGTTTTCTAGTATATCAAAATTCTTCTATTTCATCATTCACTGTGCTGTTGTTATGATGTGCTTAACAGGGAACATGGTTAGTGAAAGGAAGATAAACCTGGATGTTACTACAAAACTTAGTTTAATGAATGTTTAAAGAACTCAAATTTTATCTGTCTCTCCTGTAATTTGGATCTCTTCTTATGTATATAGTGCTAATAACATGAAGACCTTTCTCTGCACTATATGCAAACAGGGTAACTAAACAAAGCCACTTTGAATCCTTGAAGGTATATCCAGGTTTATGACAGTAATTGTGTTTACATTTTATGGTGCCTAGTGTTGACAAAATGTTATATCCCTATATTAAACAGATGAATCCATAAAAAAAATAAGGTGTTAATATTTATTAACATTTAAGTTAAAAAATCAATTCAGTATACTCGAATTATTCCTTACCACTAAATAAAATTATATTTCATTCCAGACATGGTCTCTTCATTCACTTGCTCTTATAGTGGATTCTAGTGGCCCAATGTATCGTGGATATGTGGAACCAACATTATCTCTAGTTCTTACCTTGCTGTTGACAGTCCCACCTTCACATACGGAAGTTCATCAATGTTTGGGTAGATGCCTGGGTGCCATAATAACTACTGTTGGCCCTGAGCTACAAGGTGAGTAAATTCATCTTAAATAAAGGAACTAGGCATTTGCTATCTTTCAGTTTCCTGAATGTCGCTATCATGTTGCTTGATGAAAACTTGTAATAGTAATAATTACTGATGACTGTGTACTGAATGCTTCTTATTTACCAAAGGCCTACAACTCTGCTTTTTTTTTAAAGATTTATTTTATTTATTTGAGAAAGAGAGAGACAGAGAGAGCACAAGCAGGGGGAGGGGGAGGCAGAGGGAGAGGCAGACTCCCTGCTGAGCAAGGAGCCTGACTCAACTTGGGGCTCAATCATGACCTGAGCCAAAGACAGGTGCTTGACAGACTGAGCCACCCAGACACCCTTCAACTCGGCTTTTTTTTTTTTTTTTAAGATTTTATTTATTTATTTGACAGAGAGAGAGAGAGCACAAGCAGGGGCAGTGGCAGGCAGAGGGAGAAGCAGGCTCCCCGCTGAGCAGGGAGCCCGATGTGGGGCTCGATCCCAGGACCCCAGGATCACAACCCAAGCCGAAGGCAGACGCCTATCCGACTGAGCCACCCAGGCGCCCCATCAACTCTGCTTTTTATATACGCTATTTTATTTAATCCCTACAACATACCTATGACTGACTATTATTTGAAGTTTTGAGCAGAGAAAGCCTTTCCTTTTTTTGAGAGAGAGAGAGAAAGTGTGAGCTGGGAGGGGCAGAGGGAGAGAGAAGATCTTAAGCAGGTTCCACACTCAACACAGGGCTCAATCTCATGATCCTGAGATCATGACCTGAGCCGAAATCAAGAGTTGGAGACCTAACCAACTAAGCCACCAGGCACCCCCAGAGGAAGCCTTTCTAAATTAAATTTTACCTGGAGCTCCATGAAGACAAAGATGAAAAGTGAAGTTCCTTTGTCCTGGAGTACCATCCACTTGTCTTCATGGACTTCTGCTTCACTGTTTTTTTGAATTCTAAAGATCAGGAACATAGTTTGAAAACCCACTCCCATAAGGGAGATAATATTATGTAATTTTTCTATGAGGAACCAAGCTCAGAGAAGATTAGTAACTTGCCTAAAGTTACCTAACTGAGTGACAGATTTATGATCCTGAGGCCCATATTCTAACTACACAGTTCCACTGACATAATTTTACTAAAGGTTGAATGAAACACAGAAGGCAGAAAATTATTGTGAATTTATCCTGAATGTATCATTCATTTTCAGAGTTTTCCCTTTTTCCCCTATCATTTAGTAAATGCTTTCACTGGGTCAAGATTTTTATACACATTATCTCATTTAATTCTAACAGCATCCTGAGATAGGTGCATCTCTCCATTTGACAGATGAAACTCTGAGGCTGGGAGAGATTAAGAGCTTTTCCATGGTTTTGTATAGCTAGTGAGAGGTTGGAGCCAGAGATGAAGCCCACATCAGTTTCCTTTGCATGCATTCTTAGCCACTATGCTGTGTTGTCTCCCTCTGGACAGATATTTTTAAAAAAGAAAGAATCCAAAAATGAAAAAATCTTAATGAAGAATGCTAGGAATTGGAAAATACGTGATTTAGACATTCTTTTTCTTGCACTCAGTTTCCTCTTTGAGAAAGTTGGTAATTTTTTCTTCCAGTGTTATCATAAGGATATGGACAGAATAAATATGTGCCTGATTAAACATAGGTGTTTACCAAGTGTTTTCTGATGCAGTGATGATGAGGCAATATGTATTTCAAACTAGAATGCGACTCTATATGACCATGATTTCTTTGTTTGGCATTATATGTATATAAATTACACTGGCAAAAATTTTAAAGCACTTATAATAGGCAATTAAGATGTTTTTACACAGTATATAATACTATTATTATTTTTCCTGACTATCTCTGTAAAAGTTTTCATTAATTCTTAGGAAAGTAGGATTTGGAGTTATTAAATAATATAGTGATAATATTGGTTGGACAGAGAATGAGGAATCTTCTGGCTCTTTCAAGTAAAACAGTGATGGGTTTAAAGGACAATATAGTTTCCTAGGGGATTTCTATAAACCTAGCTAAATCTAGGAGGGATATATTATTGTCATCCATATACAGTCATGTTTTGAAGTAATTTCTATGGACTTTGCAGATTTCTTGTCTTCAAAACAATCTGAATAGTGATCAGAAAGGGGTTGTTTAGAAGATGATTGTTTTTGGTAGTACTAATAATAGCATTTTGCATTTTCTTTGATTTTGCTACCAGGGAATGGAGCAACAGTTTCCACCATTCGTTCTTCTTGTTTGGTGGGTTGTGCAATAACCCAGGACCATTCAGATTCTCTGGTTCAGGCAGCTGCCATATCTTGTCTTCAGCAGCTACACATGTTTGCACCACGACATGTCAATCTCTCTAGTCTTGTTCCGAGCCTGTGTGTAAGTATAAAACTGTTTCCTTCATTGATTTACTTAGGGAGCCCCAAATTTGTTTCCCAAAAGATTAAACTAGATCAAAACAAAAAGTGTAAGCTTTCTGGATTGTGCATTCTAGAGTTTCACCTTCAATAGTCATTTTATGACTGTTCATTTTTATTTACTGGTTTCCTTTTTCACCTTTTAAGAAATATTTTGATGAACTGTTTATTTCTTGGCTAAGAATGCATCATATTTTTAGTCTTTCCCATTCAGAATTTTATGTCCTGAAGTTTGATTGATAACTTCTGAGGGTCTGTGGCTATCATCATAGTCATTAATTTGTTCACTTAGTAAGTACTTATTGAGAGCCATCTACATGTCACATACCATGCAAAGTCCTGGGAATACATTTGTAGATGAGACAAGATGAAGCTTCTGCCATACTGAAATTTATAGTTTACAAAGGAACATGGTCAATAATAATTATTTACAAATAAGATAAGTGGGGGCGTCTGAGTGGCTCCGTCATTAAACGTCTGCCTTCAGCTCAGGTCATGATCTCAGGGTCCTGGGATCGAGCCCCGCATTAGGCTCCCTGCTCAGCAGGAGGTCTGCTTCTCCCTCTCCCTCTCCACCTGCTTGTGTTCCCTCTCTCGCTGTGTCTCTCTCTGTCAAATAAATAAATAAAATCTTTAATAAAAAGACACAAAAAACAGATAAGTGCTAGAAGAGGCTATAGGAAATCACATAACAGGGGAGCCTGTCAGAATCCAGGCATTCAGAAAAGATTTACCTGAAAAAATGATACTGAAGGTGTGATCTGCAGGACAAATAGGAGTTAGTTCAGGAGAAAGCATAATATTGCAATAGACAGCACTTATTTTTAGGCAGACGGAAAAATATATGAAAGGCCCCCAAATGGGAAGGAATGTGACACATTTGAGAAACTGTTTAGTTGGTGTGGTTAGGGCTGAGAGAGAAGGGGTGGGTGGGGCCTGGGCACGGAATGAGGCTGGACACTTAGCCAGGTAAGAGATCATGCAGGCTTTCTAGATGTATTAAACTCCGGACTTTGAGAATTATGGTGCTCTAGGAGGGAGGTGATAATGACTTGCTCTATATAGGCAGCAATTTGAATAGGGAAAAATAAATAGAATTGAGTGATATTTAAGAGGAAGAATCAGTGGGGACACCTGGGTGGCTCAGTCAGTTAAGTGTCGGCCTTCAGCTCAGGTCATGATCCCGCGGTCCTGGGATCAAGTTCCTTGCTTAGCAGGGAGTCTGCTTCTCCCTCTCCCTCTGCCCCTCCCCCTCCACTCGTGCTCTGTTTCTCGCTTTCTTTCTCTCTCAAATAAATAAAATCTTGGGCGCCTGGGTGGCTCAGTTGGTTAAGCGACTGCCTTCGGCTCAGGTCATGATCCTGGAGTCCCGGGATCGAGTCCCGCATCG